CATGAGACCCTCCTGGCAGCCTGAATGGGCTGTGGATGGACTCAAGGAGCTCCCAAATCCAGGCATTGCTGGTTCAGGGCACACAGTTGGGATGGGAAGGGACAGTGGTTGCTTCCAAGGGCTGATGCTGTTTATAAGGACACGTTGTCAGTGCAAGTCCTGCTGCTCCTTTTTTCCTTTATAAACAGCTGTGGAGTTCATGGAAATCCGAAATTGCTTTCCAGGAGGAAATCTGGGCTGAGATTTTGGGAATTTAGGAACCAAATCACTCTTTTTGCCTTTTTTTTTTTTTTTCCTTTTAAAGAGAGCTCAGCTCCAATAAGGAGCCCAAAGCTCTCTAAGGCACAGAGAATTCCAGCACAGCCAAAGGCTTTTGCTGGCCCTGAAAGGCAAGGCTGGGAACTGCAAGGGGAAGGAAAATCCAAAGAGAACACCCACCATGGCACATCGGCTGTTTTATTCCCAGGATGGATTCTGAAAGTATCTTTTCCCTTTGGATAAACTCTGGGAGGGCAGGAAGGTGGGAAATCCATGTCCATCCATGCTGCCAGCTTCAGGGAATCCACTCTGGCTCATCACTGTGTCTCCCAGCTTAGAGATATCATGGATAAATGGATAAAAATGAGAGTTTGGTATAGGCTTTTGAGGGATTGTGGGATCCACCCCACAGGGGGGGGTTTTGGGGTGAAGCTGGGAAAAATGGGAAAAATGGAGGAGAAATGCCAAGTCCTGGAGGCACTTTGCTGCTCCCACCAGTCCTCATTTGCTCTTGGCCAACCCACACACCTTTCCTGTATTTTTTAAAAATAATAATATTTAAGAAATCCCAAACCAGAAACCTCAGGAGGGTCTGGCTGGGAAGCTGTGGCTGTAATTGCTGGTGCTTAAAGGCTGTAGGAAAATATTGATGGAAAGGGCTGTGCCTTCCCATTGCAACCCCAGAAAAGGGGAAAATCCCTGTGGCTCTCTGTGCTCTCCCTTTTTCCAGCCAGCCCAAAAGGTGATGACAGAACTCTGGAAAGGACTGTGATCCACAGGGTAGGCAGTGATGGAAGGGGGACAGTGATCCTAAATCCCAGTGGGAATAACCCTTAGTCCCTGTTTTCTGTGTGCTTCACCTAAAAGCTCAGATTCTCCAACTCTGGTTATGGATGCTGGTGAGTTAAATGTGTTCCCAGCCTCCCACTCCATCCCTTCCCTGGGCATTGTCCACCCATTGTCCACATCCCACACAGCCCAGCAAACCTGGAGCCTTGGCAAACCCCTCCATCCTGGAATGGTTTGGGTTGGAAGGGGCTTAAAGCCCATCCAGTTCCAACTCCCTTCCATGGCAAGGGACACCTACCACCACATCAAGGTCCCTCAGCAGCCCTGCAGCCTGGAAAGCCCCATTGGATACAAAAAACAGTGACCTCAAGGTCTTTTCAACCCTGAAAAGTCATGAAGAGGGAAAAGATGCTCCATTCTGCATAATAGGAGATTTAAAATGTTTAAACTAAAACTCTTCTGAAGCAGAGGGGCAGGACACCCTCCTGGAATCCAGGGAGCCACCCCGAAATATTTTTTTTTCCCTGTGGCCAGTGAAGGCTAAGTGGTTTTTGTTGGCAGTGGGAGGAAGATGAAGGGAGGTTTCACTCTGCTCGTGGAAGCCAGTTCATGCTGAGATCTGTGATGGGCAGGAAAACTCAAGACATCCATTCCTCCTCTCAAAACCCAGGAGTTCTGGGAGGGTGGGAGCGGATTTGGCCCAAAAAACCCCCAGGCCATGTGCAGTGTTGGGGAGGCCCAAACTTGGCCAAATATTGGGCTGTTAAAAGCTCCAGCAGAATTTTTTCCCTGGGATTTGAGCTGCTCTTTAAGAAAAAAGGTTTTTCGAACCACCCCCATTTCCTGCTGTCCCTCCCAGGCACGGCCCCCTGTCCCTGCTGATGCCACTGCACCCGCGCCATCCCGGGTTTCCCTAATCCCACCTTGAGGGCCCCTCTGCCATTCCATGGGTGTGATTTAATCTTGTGCCATGTGACAGAGCTTTGCCTTCAGCTGCTGCAGCCAAACAACCTCATCAGCTGCCCCTCTCCCAGCCCCTGTTGTGGTGGGAAACAGGGAATTGCCAATCCTTGGGCAGCTTTTGGGGGCTGCTGCCACATCCCTTTCTCTCCCTTGGACAGAGCATTGAACCTTCAGGAGCATTGAACATTGTACCAGGATCCCAGACCATCCCAAAGATCCCTTTTCTCCCCTCCTCTGCCCTGTTTCTTCAGGTTTTGTAGCCAAACTGAGCTCTCCCTGGGGCACATGGATCTGTACAGCCTCCCAAGTAATTCCATTGGCTGTGGTGATGCTGTGGGTGAGCAGCTCTGAGTCACCACAGGGTTTATTCACTTCTGCTTGCTCCCCCTTTCCAGGTCATGGGGAGTGCTGGGCCCCTCAAGTGCCTCTAACACCCCTGGTGGAAGGAACACTCCTCATTCCTTATTTTTGTTTCAGTTTTTCCCTTTATTTTACATAGCTTTGGGGTCCCGTGAGTCCATCACCCACAGCTTTGCCATAACCTCTCCTGACTCCATTCCCAGGGGATCCCCAGCCTGTTTGAGATGAGCATCGTGGTCTCCTGGCTCATATCTGAGCCTTTTTCATCCTTTCTCCTTATCCTGGATACACCCCCTCACCTGCTCTGGAGTCCCTTCTTGTCCTGATGCAATCCACCATTTTTTCTTCCATCCAACACTGGATATTGCCTCACCTGCAAAGAAAAATTAATCTTGGAGAGGAAAGGCCCCATCCAGGGGCCTATTTGGGCTACAGATGAGAATTTTCCTGGTGGATTTGGCTGTCCCGGGACTCTCCTGAAATCTGGGGTGAGCAGGGCTTTGGCCTTGGGATTGCTGGGGTTTTGTCTTGATGCAGGATGGGGAAGCACTTTTAAATCCCAAGTTTTTTATATCTTGGCAACCAACAGGTTGTAATATCACTTGGAAAATCCAGGTATTCCCTGATCACCTGTAGATGTGGTGAGATGACTGTGAATGGGGGGACTGGAGCATGGAAAAGTTGATGGAAATCTCACATTTCCAGAGTTTTTGTACCAGTGGGGATTTCAAGTGTCCTGGGAAGTGGCTTCCCTGTGGTTTTGGGGGCAGGCAGCACCTGGAGTTAATGTAAGGGAGGGTCCAGTGGCTCATGTGAAGTAGAAACCGGGATAAAATCCCCCAAAATTGGGCAATAACAGCAACAAAAGCCAAAGCAGGAGAGTGAGGAGGCTCAGCACTCTTAGGGCTTCACGTGTGGGGTAAGGACTCAACCAGAGCCACCTCAGCAATCTGGCAAAAACAAAACCTCCTTTAAAATTATTCCTCTATAGATAGAAGCCTTGAAAAGGGAATATTTTAATGTCCTGCCCCTGCTGGGGATGCAGCCACCTGCGGCTACGTGCGGGCTGCAGGGGAGCGGGCGGGAGGCACAGAGGGAGGGAGGGAAGGAGGGAGCTTGGCTTAAGTAACGCTCCTGGGTTAGTCTGGATCAAGTTCCTTCAGCTCCACGGGTCTGAGACACGGCCAGGAGGGAAAACTGTTCTGGGAAAGAGGAGGAAAACCTGCCTGTGGTGGGAAAACCGCTGGGGAAAACATTGAGGACGCTTTGGGGGCTGTGACAGCACCTCCAAACCTACCTTTAGGTAAGGGGGTGATGAGGTAAGTAGGGGTGGCTGTGCTGTGCCAGGGGAGGTGGCACCATGCCCAACCTGACATCGGGCAGTGGGATGAGGGCTGGGATGCAGGAACAAGCCAGTGCCACGCCATGAAGCTGTCCCCACAGTGACCCCTCACCTGGAGGGACAGCAGTGCCCATTCCCTTGGGCTCAGCCAGCTCTCCGACCCTGCCCACGGGTGGGTTTTGCTCTGTGCATCATCCAAACGCTTTTCCAGGGAAGGGAGAGAGGAGATGGAAGGAGGATGTTGCATCCCCTCCTTTCTCGACCCACCCTGGGATGTTTTCCTGCACCCCTGGCTGTTTGCTGCTGCTTCCAAACCGAGCAGGGAAGCGAAGCCAAACCCCATGGAGCAGCCGAGGCTGGAGCGCGGCCCCGATTCCCATTGTCCATGGCCCCATCTCCTCCCGGGCTCTGGGCCACGTGTGACACCTCCTCCTCCTCCTCCTCGGTGTCCCTGGGTGCTGCGGGCTGTGCCAAGGGGCTGAGCCCCTGCCTTGGGGGGCTGAGCCACCGTCACCGAGTCCAGCAGCGGGATTTGCTCTGGAGGAGGCTGTGGAAGGGACTCCCCTTACCTCGGGATTAGTGCAGACAGAACCAAGAGGCAGCTTTCCCTCTTTTAAACTATTTTTAAAATTTCATTATATATACATTACATTCATTAGTTTTTTTGTGTATGCTTTTGGAGCCATCCCAGGGGATCTTTTGGAGCCATCCCAGGGGATCTTTTGGAGCTGCCCCAGAGGATCTTTTGGAGCTATCCCAGAGGATCTTTTGGAGCTATCCCAGAAGATCTTTTGCAGCTATCCCAGAAGATCTTTTGCAGCTATCCCAGAAGATCTTTTGCAGCTATCCCAGAGGGTTTTCTTTCCTGTGCCGCCGCAGGAGGGGAGAGCAGCGGAGCCGCCGCCGCATCCCTGCAATCTCACCATGCCCGTCTCCCGCCACACCGGCCAAATCCCGGAGTCCACCTGGACCTTGACCTTCAGGGAGA